CCTTTACCAGCTTTGAGAACACTTTAATGATCAATCATTATAAAACATATCATATATATTATTCTGAAATGGTCCAATCTGCACAATGACTACTTTTACTTTTGGTACTTTAACTATATTTTGATGCCAATACTTTTTTACTTTTACTTGAGTAACATTTTGAATGCAGGACTTTTACTGTAACAGATTATTCCTACACTCTGGTACTTCTTCTTAAGTACAATATCTTAGTATTTTCCCACCACTGATGGTGGGAATATGAGTGTGATTTCTTTGCTGGGCTGTGAGTCTCCCTGTCTGATCAGAAAGAGAGCCAGCAGCAGAGCCTGTGTACCCAGGTAGTTCTTCTCTGATCTGAGGCAGCACTGCCAACTTCTCTGCATGCTGCTTTGAGTCGGACTGAGGGAAGCGTGTTTTTGTGTATGGAGCGTCTGTTTCTTCTCACTTCTCCGCTCCCGCCCAGAACAGAGGGCTCTTTATGGTTGTTTGTAGGGGAAGACTGGGCCTGACGGCAGAAAGTTGGCCCTCAGACAAGGCCAGCAGTCTGCAGGCGCTTACTGGAAATGGAGCGAGGGCCGGGCTCCGGTTGGTTGGCTGCCTCAGCTGGGCCGGGTGCAGGTTGGCGTCCGCACACAGGCAGGGAATGAAAAACTGAGCAGGGAAACTCTGGAGAGGGATTTTGGGGGGGGGGGGATTCATAATCCCACCTTTCATTTCAGATCTATACAGAAATATTTATGTATGTACTTATCTAATTTGAACTAAACTTAAGGCATCTATTGTCTGCATTGCTTAGCACTCACTGAAAAAACGGAAACGTTGACTTTAATTAAATGTATTAAGTCAACAAATGTCACATAACTGTATTAGGTTAGTTGAAAGCAACAATATTAAGTTGAACCTAATGTTTTTTATCTAAACGTATTAGTTTTGCTTTGAACTAACCTAATACAGTTGTGGAAATCTTTCTGACATAATACATTCATTAAAGTCAATGTTTCGTGGTTTTTAGTGCATAGGCCTACTGATACAAAAGCTTTGGATGTAACCAATAACCTTAGAAAAATAATGCTTGCTATTGTGATCCGGGCACCATTCAACATGAACTATCTGTTACACCCTTTTATTACACATGCAGTTGTTGCAGCCAAGAATCAAAACCACACATATAAACACTCATGTGTTCACCACAGCCATCAGGCTGCTCAACTGTGAGCTTAAACAGCATCTCTCAGGCACTCATAAAGACAGCTATGCTATGTCCTCTGTTTTGGTTTGTTAGCATCACAGAAAGACTGCCGGAGACATTCTTAAAGAGTGAAGCATGATCCAAGGATGAAGACATTAGCCATTTACTGTATCAGCTGTTTACGTGACGGATATAAACATTATTTGTTACTTTCGTTCACAATATGAGATAGGGCATAGTGCATTTATTGTAATTACATTGTGTTTATAATTATGAGTGTCAATATGGTCATATTTTATACAACAGAATGCTTCACTATTATGAGATGGACAAAGTAGTGTGTATTCTTTGATACCGTCCAATGGGGTCATTCAAACACTTTGAATATAAATGTTGACCTAACAGTAAAGTGACCTCAAGCGGGAATTCCATTTTCAAAAGAGGCTCCCATGCCTGACATGTAAGTCATCTGTTACTCAGGCTCATTGAGTAGGGGCCTCACTGACATTATTACAGTGAGTCATCTAAATCCTCTTGAGGTTGATTACCTTAAATCCTTTTTCTTGTCTTTGTCCTTTTTTCCCAACAGAGTTTGACTGATGACCTATATATATATATATATATATATATATATATATAAAAATAAATAATAATAATACGTTTTTTATATATGTTGAACCTCTTTTTAAAAACAGGATGTTGAAAAATGTTGTCAGTTAAGATAAGTCATGAAGACCAGGCTGACAGACCAACACAGAAACTACACCTCAGCCCCACTCACATCCTGCCAGATACAATTGCTCTTTTACACATCACCACACAACAGAGGTACAGACACAAAGTCACGCACCCACTCGTGCCAGAATACAACTAAAGTTAAGGAGAAGCTGCCGTTGCTCAGTGAGACTGAAAGACACGTTGCGTTTTACTTGTTTGACTCAGGCTTGCTGGTTTTTCGTTATTGAACTTGATCCCACGCTTCCACATTAATAGCTTGTTATAAGAAAAGTCGTAAGCAAAATCTCTGACATTGTAAATTCAAGTGAGTAAATTATTAGCTTAAACACCCCATGAAATATATTCAGATCAAATTAAAAGGCGGGATATTTAACATGTGATGCAAAAAACTCAACACAAATAATGACTAAACAACAGCACAACTAAGTAAAACATTTGGTTTAAGAAAAGAATATGAACTTACAGCCGATGTGCTCATTATGACCGAACAACAGCTTTACAATCCAGGCCAATTCGTGTTACTGAGAGCTGTTTTTCCTGTCGAGTTTGAGTCCTCACTCGCTGTTGTTAAATGTCATGACACTTTTTCGTCAGAGTGTCAAAGTGTCAAAAACATTCATTTGTCCCTCCTGTATCACCGTGCGTCTACTTCCCCATTCTAGAGGGAAGCTCGCTTTATCAGCCGGTACAATCACTCTCATGTAGCACAGCTCAGAATAAACACAGCAGAACATTGCAACACTAACCACTGTCCAACTGCTTTTGTTTGTGAGTTCATAGAATACAATGGGAATGCTTTACTTCATTAAAAGTTCCATAACATTGACATAGTCCTTTAAAAGTTAAGATTGACCTTTGTTGTTACACTTTGGTATTGTTCAACAAATGTACCAAACATAAAAGCACTCACATTAAATAATAACACTTTCTATGCGTTTGGATGATAATTACTGAAATGTGTGGAAAAATTAAAGAATATTATGATCATTTAAGACTAATACAAATTCTGATTTGGTAAAAAAAAAAGTTTTTATGAGGAAATTCAAATCCAAACAAATTGGTGTGAGGATCATTTTAAGTATTCATTGTTATAATAAGCAACAAACTACTAGCAACGGCTCCACAAGACACACCTCCAACCAACATGACTTGGTATTCACACGTTAATAACGCCTGCTGAGGGTGTGAAAACTTTGAGCAGGAAAGTTCAAATGGACTACTAAAATATATTAGTCAGAAACCTCGAGCTTCTGCCATTCCAGATAGCAGAAGTGCAAAAAGCAAAGTCAACCAATTCTACTCAAATAAAACATAGAAATCTACTTATTCAGAATTATTATGCATTGTATGAAAAATTATTGTGACAATATTTTCTTTTATATAATGAAATTAGACTTAAATAATTCTACAAATAAAAAAAACGTACCTACAACCTGATTAGTGGTGTTGATGAAGAGGTATTTTAACCTACCTAACTTACATACAGAGAATGAACAGAATAACAGCAAATCCTCACTTTTGAGGAGCTGTAACCTGAATATAGTGGACTTGTTTTGCTTTAAAATGAACTTAAATAATTGTTCTGATGATTGGCGTTAACAATTATTGTCTAATCATTTAATCTCTACGTTTAAATAAAAATACAAAGTATGTTGAGTGGTACAAACAAAATAATTTAACAAAAAAAGTAAAATAAATTGCTATATACTGTAAGCACGGTAGCTGAGCTTTAAAAGTACAGGAAGAGGTCAACATGGTAAGGGTTAAAACATTTATTTTTAAATCAAATCTCAACTATGCGTCACTCAGATTGATCACCTCTGTGTGTTATGCAGTATGCATTATATATCATCGGTGGAGTTCCTGTTTAATACATGTACCACAGAATAAAAAGTGACACATATAGGTCAACAGAAAGCATCTCAAACGGACTTGATAGGGGAATCTCTGCTTTGATCATGTGGGTATTTTTTTGATGAGCAACATTACATTTGAAACACTGACGCAACATTGAGGCAACGCAACCTTGAGATGCAAAATGCTTATCTCTGACAATCTGGATCATGCAGCTTGCGTCGTCTTACTATGAAGATGTCGTCATTGATCCAGGTTAATTAAAGTCACCCATGGCTGTTGCATTATTTCCCAAAACACTTACGCTCGAAACAACAGATGTACTTCCTCCTCGGAGATTAGAGACACCATTGTAAAACCAAGTTTGCGACAAAAAAGAAGGGTGAAATAAATGAAACAGTGGGAATCTGACTGTGACGGCATTGCGGGGTCAGGGAGGGGTTTAAAGCTGATGAGTTGTTTCATTGAGTGGTTTAAATTTAGCAATGTTTGTAACGTTTCGGATTTAAAAAAGAATCCTCTGTTTCCTCTGTGTGGCCTAATGGCTTCTGAATCAGATCAAAGGGCAATACTTTGTGGCTCCCATCAGGGATTAGCCCAACAAAAACACTATTTCAGAGCAAGAATGTGCTTCAGGGGCAGATAATAAATAAAAAAAGAAAGATGGCATAGATGGGGTCATTCATCGATGGAGTGACTAGAAAGATGTCATTCTTTTTTCATTTGTCCCTGTTCTGTATTTCTCCCTCCTTTAATCTCAAACACAAATCAGGTGTTTTGCACAATGTGCGCTATGGGTACATACATTAAAATGTATACAAATATCCTGGTACTGGGTATTTGTCTCACTTTGGTTTATTCTGTCTGTTATATTCTACAGTGGCCACAGCTTCATGGAAACCATTATATAAAACTGAGCTACAGTATACATCAAGATTATAAAAGCCTCCTGACACTTCTGAAGAATCAACAAAATGGGTAAAAAACATAAAACTAAACCAACCAACTTGGACTAATCCCGATTTAGCACACATTTCTCACCAACTCACAGTACAGACTTCCTTGTGACAAGGATCATTGAATACAAGCTGAAGTACAATGCTAAATATGTGGGCAGATTTCCATACACTTGAACACTTGAATTAGCAAATGCATTAATTAATTATGAAATTAATAATCTGAGCCTTTCAAAACAACACAGGTTATTCAAAGTGCTCGACAGCACAGAGGTAAAGCACGAAAGATAAAACAAGGTAACCAGACAACATTCCTAAGTCAAGAAAATACTTTGGTTGGGTGTGCACTTGTTGCTTCCTGTGTTTGGTTACAGGTGAGCGTGGAGGTATCAGCCAGAGTAACAGAGGAAGGGTTTTCCCCTTTAAGTTATGTGTTGTCACTCTGCAAGTTTAACTGCTCCTTTTCATTTTGTCACCACACACACAGCAGACCTTATTCTTATTTCATCATCCCAAAACTTAGAACGCTTTTAGCAGCATGGAAGATGTTCCAATTATCAGTTCAGGTGATGTTATTCCACATTCATACAGATTGCCTAATTGTCATGAGGGAGGCCGAACTTGATCACTTGTTAGGAATTACAGCAGTCTTACCCTGTGCACTGTTCCATTACCAGCTCCAGGAAGTGCAAGGGACAGATGGCTGGTTTCTCTGGGTAACGTCTGAGGTAGTTCCGAACAGGCCTGCCACAGAAAGGAAATAAAAAACAACAATTAGTAAAAAAAGAATATGTCTATTTACACCATATTTTTGAACACAAAAAACAAATGGGAAAAAACTAGCCTAGCCCTTTCTGCTAACAAAACCGGGGTCCCTGTTGGTTGTCTAACAACTTTTGAAAAAACCCTGTAAGACAGTGAATTGTCCTTTTTACACTTTTACAGTTTGTTTATGGATTTAAACAAAGAAGATGTAATGTGTTAATAAGTGAGCGTTAGCTTTAAACAGAGCCAGTTTTGCTAAGCTAATCTTCCAGGCTGAAGTCGTACATTAAAAGGACAGCTAGTGGCATCAATCTTTCTTTCTAACTCTCAGCAAGAAGCCAAGCATATCTCCAAATAATTTACTGAGGAGTTCAATGTGACTCATTTCAAAAGGGACAATATAAACAGTGGCTGCCAATCAAACTCATATACGAGTCTCCCCAGTGTGCTTCAGACTTCCAGCTATGGAAAACAATCCTGTGATCACTGTGTGTGTAACCCTATATGCATCACCTCACGTTTAAGTAGAGAGAAAATATGCGAGCCAGGGTACTTTCCTTTAGGTTGTATGAAGTTCTTTGGCTGAAAGGTCTCTTTTAGTGCTGATACAGTCAAACTATGTGAGCATATCAATGAGCAGACTCTTTTATTCTAAAGCCTGACCTTTTTCTATCCTCTCCTTTGAGTAAAGAAGCTTTCATCAAGCTCTCAAAATGCACACCTTTTCAAATTTAAAGCAATTTTATCAAAAGACAAAAAAAAACATGGATTAAGGAGGACTAATAAACTGTGAATGAACACCTGCCGTGTTGGGCACTTTACCTTGCCGGTGGTGCCTCCACGGGCCCGGCGGGGGGGCTTCCAGGACCTTTCCCTGGTGATGGTGTTGATGTAGTAGTATCTCCCTGTGGGCTGGTCTGAGTACTGCTCCCACAAGTCTAGGATCTGAAGGGGCTGCTCACCTGGGGCAGGGGTAGGGGGCTCCGCTACCGACAGACGTTTCTCTGGCTGATTGTCAGAGTAAAGAGGAGAGTCCTTCCAGGACAGCTGGGAGATGTAGGACTCTGTTGGGACCTTATGGGCAGAAACAGTACAGAGAGAAAAGAGGAATAAAGAAAGGAACGTTTGTTGTATGATATATTTGTTGTATTAAAACAGGACACAAGCAAAAGCTTAATTTTGTCAGAATAAGTTCATACTGTTTTAAAACAGCCAGGCTCTCAAGATACCTGAGCAAGGGTAAATTGTACATTTGTTGGTGCGCAAAATAAACTTTGTTGCCAAGTGTTAATTGTAATAAGGGACTTTGTCTCCAAATGAAATTCGTGACTGTATTTTTCTGCACAAAATAAGCTTTACGGGACAATATGCTATATGCATAGAAAGCGCAGTCAGTGTTGTATGCTGCAGATAATATATATACACAGTCAAATAAATGTGGCTTGACTTAATTAATTGAAAAAATATGTATCTGTGTGTTCAGAACAGGGGCACATACTGTAAAGTATGATATCTAGCAGAGAGCAGTGCCATGACGTTAAAATCACCTCAGTGATGAGATAGAATAAACAAGAGGAACAAATAAATCCCTTCACCTCGTACTATGGAATAACCCGTCAGACGATTAATCCAGAGTTTATAGAAACGCATGTGCTCACCCAGATGCAGAGTACTAACGCAATAGCTATAGAATTAATTTAACAGATATGCATGGAAGATCATCTTTCCGGGAAAAATTGCTGATTGATTCACTAACTGATTGAGAGGCTGGCTGGTTGATACCTGTTACATAACATATGGATGTTTCAGATAGGGACTGAGGGAACATGGTGTGTGATTGTGTGTGTGTACTGTAGTTTACCCCAGGGGGCAGCACTGGGTCTTTAGCTCACCTGAAACTTCCTGCCCACAGACTTATGTTCACCTAAGTGGTGATAGCAAAACAAGTGTTTCGCAACAAGGTTAGGTGGGGCCATGGCTAATTACAAAAGAGGAAATACAAATCGTCATTCACTGGAAAATGTCAGACCTGCTAGAGATACATATGGATCTATTTATGAGTGTGTGTGTGTGTGTGTGTGTGTGTGTGTGTGTGTGTGTGTGTGTGTGTGTGTGTGTGTGTGTGTGTGTGTGTGTGTGTGTGTGTGTGTGTGTGTGTGTGTGTGTGTGTGTGTGTGTGTGTGATTTCCTATCTTCAAAACTGACATATTCTGGCACTTCCTCTTCCACCTCTACTTCTTCAGCTTTGGTTTTCACACCCTAATTACAGCTATGATCAAGCGCTTATTTAAAGTTAGTTGCAGATAAGCTTTGTTTATAGAATAGCAAATTGAGAACTGGTCAGTGCTGTCTCATGTGTGCTGAGATGAGATGGGCACAATGTTCTGGTGTCCTCATAGTTTTGGCTGTACTGTACTGACAGTGCCTAAAAAGCACCTTTTTAAAAAATGGTATCTCCTTAAATACAAATGGGGTTTTGTCCTCTGGGGGAAAATAATTGTCTATGTCTTATTGAAATTCCTCCTCAGTGGGGCAGCACTGAAAAAACAAATGGCTCACAAAAATGAACGGTGAGAGAGTTTTGTGAACGTAAAACAGGGAATTATGACCTGAATGTGGCTACAATTATACTTCTTACTGGTATTAAAGGATTGAAGAGGGTCTTCGGAGGTGACAGATCAAATAGAGGAGGGGAGGGGGAGGAAGATACAGAAACAGACAGCGAGGAAGAGAATTGAAAAATATTTGAAAAAGAGCACTTTCCTCTCCACTGAGATCACGGCTACCCACACTGGGTGCATGCACGGTTCAGTGGATGCTACACTTGGCTGAGGGAGCTTTCCTCTTCTGAGAGAGACAGATAACCTTCAGTATTTCTATCAACAACAACGCCGACTTGTGTAATCCTCTCTGATGTAAAACAGGGAAGCTCCGACGTCACCACAATGCTAACTTGATTGCTGCTCTAGGAGGATTATTGAGGTCAAGAACAGACGTAAATCAAATACAACCTCAGCTGCCACAGTCGTCTGGGGGGATAACACAGCATATTTGATTTCATTGGGTTCAGTAGTTATTTGTTGCGACCTAAACAAGCTTCTCCAATTAAATGAAGTTTGAAAAGATATCTCAATAACTATGATATGATCTTAAAGGTCCCTATTATACTCTTTTTCATCAATATATTATAGGTCTCAGTTATATACAAAACATGTCTCTGAAGTGTTTGGCTCCAAATACCAAACAGATCATTGTAGCATCCCATAAACCCCTCTGTTTCAGCCCTGTTTCAAAAGTGCTGATTCTCTTACTTTTACTTTAGATGAAAATAAGGTGTCACTCCCCACGATAAGCTGGGGGGGGGGGTCACTTGGTTGGTTATTGGCTAATTGTTACACAAGCCAAAAAATCCTCATGACATCATAAAGTGGCCAAAATCTGATCAGCTCATTTTCAGACAGGTTTTTATAGAAATGGATCAGGGCAAAAAGAGAGGGAATATTTTTTCCTGAAACTTTCAGAATCTCTTTACACAGACGGCACGCATGTTTATGTATACAAGACATGAAAAAGTAGATTTTGCATAATAGGTGACGTTTAAGGCATCATCAATCCTTATCATTTACCGTTGACTTTCTTAAATTAAACTCTGCACACGGCTGAAAACTGCCAGCTTGTTTACTAGTTTGGGTGTTATGGCCAGTAAATCCATCAGATTAGAGATGTTGTGAATGAGAGGAAGTCAAAATCAATGTAAATCCACACTTCCTCAGACACCATCTACATGTGAAGGATTTGTTTGACCTATATTACAAAATGTACTCCAGTCTTCTTCATACAGTACCAATTAGGATCACAGAAAGCAATGTGTTTGGTTTGGGCTTCTTAAATCTTCCAATGAGTAACTGCTGGCTGTCAGATGAAAATATCAACTGCCTTAAACCTCTAAAACTACGATATCTTTACACTAGTGGAAACTAGGTTTGAGTGAGGTTGTCAGACAGATTGACTGAATATGAGAATAACACCCAGATTTACAAGTGTAGCTCTGCTGTGTAAACCAGATGTTAGGTTCAATCTGTTGTAGGTTTGCCTTTTCCTACCTGCAGATGGTTGTTCTTGCCAGAGGATCCCACCATGTCCCACTGGCTACAAGACTTCTTTGGCATCTTGTGGTTGCCACGACTGCTGAAGCCACCGCCCACCTCATCGTACGGGTTCTCCGTCACGTTCTCAGGCAGGTTGCTGGAGCTCTGGCTGCGAGTGATCATGGGGACAACCCTGGGGTTTGGTGATGTTGTCTGTTGTGTGTTGGAAACTGCAGGGGACACAGGGACCATGAGGTGTCCTGACAGGGAGGCTGGAGAGTTGGAGGTAAAGGTGAAACCAGACCAAAGGGGCAGTGTGGGGAAGCGGCCTCCACCCGTGCTGGAGTTCTTGTCCTGACCCTGGAAGGAGTTCAGGTTTTCCACGGAGCGGAAAATGGGTTTGTTTGCTGAAGAAGGAAGGTACAAATAAATAAAGAGATATTTTCCTCCTTTACTTAATAGAAACATCATTACACACATTTTTACTATATAATACAGAATTAATCTTAAAGGTCCCCTATCATACTCTTTTTCATCAATACATTATAGGTCTCAGATATATACAAAACATGTCTCTGAAGTGTTTGGCTCGAAATACCAAACAGATCGTGAAAAAGTGGATTTTGCATAATAGGTGACCTTTAAAAAGACATAATAGAAGTTATCTTTACCTTGTTGCTGTTCATTATAGGTTGTCTCCTTTGGGCTAGGAGAGAGTGAAACCTGTGGCAGTATCCTGAGTTTTGAGTTTAGCGAGTCAGAGACAACCCGGCGCCGTGGCAATGGCAGCGGTGCAATGGGCACCTCGGTTACATAAGTGGCGGGAACATACAGAGGCTTTGTTTTACTGGCCGCCCCAATCCTCCGCACCTGTCGAAGAAAAGTAACTATTTCAAAATGCTCTTCTTATTATCTCTAAACACAGCTGATGCATGGACGCTGTGTGGAAATGTGTGATGCTGCAGTTCCTGTGACGTCCAACCGCTGCATCAGAAAAATCACAACTTCTCTTTTGGAATACAAACATTTTTTCAAACAAGACTTCATGGTTTTAATAGCTAATGTGTGTTTTGACATGACATGATGCACATAACATGTTAAGTATACAATGATGTTGGTATAATTCAATAATTTCTCAATTTCAATGTTTGATAAAATAATGTATACATATGGTCCACCTCTATTTAAGAGTTTGTGTACTTGAGTGACAGATTTTTTAAATTGTTACCCAAAGAAACTGAGGTGCAAATGCATTAAATTACCTGAATCTTTTTAAAGTAGTTTAAGGTCTTTGAATAATGAATATTGTTCTTATTGCCAACCAATCTGCTAAAAAGGGTTGAAATCAACAGTTAACTAATCCTAAAAAATAGTATTTTCTTTGTATGCATAGTTAATTATAGGTTTTCCCTCTAAAATGCTGTCTAAAACTGTTGAAAAAAAATCAGTGTTGAGATATCATTTTTATTCATTACAATAATTATCTTGTTGTTAAAGTTATAGTATATGTTTGTGACTATTATAATTATAATTGTTTATTTTTGTCAGTAACAACAAATGGGCTTGGGACTGAGAGCCACAATCAGGTTAGGGATGTATTGCTGGTCTTCCAATGATATTTATTTAAAAAAGAAAGATATTGTAATTGTCACTCTTTATCCAAACTCAAACACTGGAACCTACTTTGAAAACCCAACAGGTATACTATGTTCATGTTTTATGAAAAAATATCAGGTTCGACCAAAAAAAGACAAAACAACGCATTAACGGTTTTCTCACCTGCCACCAGTCAGTGTTGGTCTTTTTCAGGAGAACGAAGCGTTCCCCCTCCCTGATGCAGACCTGCCGCCCATCAGCGGCGCAGTAGTTGTAGTCATACTGAGCCTCGAGGACCACTGTGCCGCTGGTGACCCCACACACTGTCATGCTCCTGGGGGTCACAACAGGCGCTGCAGCGGGCTGCTGGTGCCCCATAGAACGCCGCCAAGACCCCGACAGCATGGCTCTCTGCACGGTCAGGTTCAGCAAGCTTGACTGGAAGCGTGCTGATGCTTGATAGTGGCAATACTGGTGATACTGGTCTGCTTAGCACAAGGCAGGTTAGACTGGAGCCAGGCCAGAGCCATGCTCTGAAATATAGATAGAATGGATGGAGAGAGAGAGAGAGAGATTAGAGAGACAATGAGAACATGTTACCCAGCTGTGTGGAGGTTCAAAGCAAGAGGACATCGTTTTAGTGCTAAAAATGGAAGTCTCGTTTAATCTGGGTAAAATCAACAACATGTATGACAACAAAAACCATCCAGAGACAAACAGTCACTGCCTACTGTTCATCAAAAATGCTTTTTATGTTTTTACGTTGTAAACTTGATCTTTCATTGACGGTTGGTCGGACAAAACAAGACATTTGAAGACATCCCATTGGGCTTCTGGAAACTGTAATGGGCATTTGTCACTATGTTCTGGCATTAACAACCAACGATTAAAAGCATATTCAACTTATACTGCCGTTCTTAATAATTAACATGTTTTTTATTGACTATCTATAATTCAATACAAAAATGTAAAACCTGCTAGTAGCATGTTAGCTAAGCTAACTGGCAGTTGGCTTTTGCTTCATATTGAGCAGACAGGTATGAGAGCGCCATGAATAGTTCCAGTCAATGTGAATTATTTTTTTCAACAAGATGTTTTAAGTTTTGCTGTTCAATTCAATCTATGTTGAAAAAAATCTTTGTTTGCAGCTTATTTGCAAATAACAAACAAAAGAATGAACCCAGTTTGTAAAAAGATGTAAACTCTAATGTTATAGTTAAATAAAATGATTGAACTTCTTTCTACCAGGTATTCATTTAGTTTGTTCCAGCCAGGTTCTAAATAAAAAACGCAAGAGTCCTTTCAGAATACACATATCTTCTAAATGTAAATACTCTTCTAATGGGACAGAGTAACGGCTGCAAGAATTATTTGCATTATAGATTAACCACCTTTTTTTTTCATCACTTGATTCAATATCTATTTATATTTAGCCTATTAAAACTTTTTTTTAAAAAAGCTTTTAAATTCACAATAATGTTAAATAACTATTAATCTTTTTTGCAGACCTATGTATTTATTTATAGGTGTAGATGACTGCTAATGATAATATTTTTTAATAATATATCATTTTTTTCCACTATCAATTTGAATGTACTGTACTTGACAGACATGGGGATGAAATGTCACGGCAGATATGTGCACAGCGCCACTTTTCCATTGTCCTTTCATCCTGGTAGAGCTAGGAGACACGTGTGAGTGAATAACTCATGCGTTCGGAGGATGTAAGCAGCGCAGTATACCAAAAATAGCATCGGTCTCTCCACCTGAGCCTGCATCCCCGAGCTAAACTGCTCTACCCAGCCAAGACCCGCTTACATAACACAACATCTAACTTTCTGCCACATTGCAATACACAGTGCATGTACCCACCCACACCCACACACATGCAACATGCACATAGAAACGTGCACATCCCTAGGCATCTAGCAACAGTCACAGTCAGGCCCAACCCATCACAGTCTGGGTGAGAAGGGAAGAGACAGCTAACAAAATAGACCCTAGAAAATTAGAAGAGACAGGGGGGCAGAGAGGTATTAGAAACTGGACATTGACTACAAGACAAAAGAAAAGAAGAAAATTCAGACTGCCTGGGATACACTAGAGAATATCCAAAGTACAAGATATTCAGGAGAAAATAAAGAAATAGAGAAACTGAGACATATACGTATGGATGAAGCTGGTTTGAGTTGTGAGTCATGTGAGGCAAGAGGCAGAGAAGCTGGTTGAATCTTGATAATCCCACTGTTATTAAAGCACAGGAATTAATCTGTGACCCCCACAGATACAGAGAATTAGAGTGAAATCCCCGAGTAACAGCATATAGGCTGGAGCCAGACCCGGCACCAGAACAAATCTAGAGGGCATATGATTTTCACGGGAGGGCAGTGCACACAAAACCGTCATGTGCCGCGGCACATAGATCCAATCAAACAGCGTGGCCAACAGCATTGCGTAAAGACGCACACCTATCGCAAATACATACACAAATAAAGGGCAACATAGAAACCACTTTTAAAACATTGTGTGCGTGGCGGCACAAACACTGGTAGCTCATGAGCAAGGCACACATTTGAAATATAAACATAACAGCAACTTGGGCAACCGCTGACCGGAGCAGCAAACATAATAATACAGAGCGACACCACATTATGCAGTGCGTAATGTGGCGCAGTGAGCAATGACATATTTAATAGACATGCAAACATTCTACTTACTGCTTTATGCTAATAAAGCTGGAGACGCCGTTTGCCTGAAGAATGGAACGGATTGAAGGATTGAAGGATTGAAGGATTGAAGGATTGGGCTCGCTAACTCAGCCCCGGGGTTTGCCGAGGTCAAGCTAGTAACATTCATTTGATATTTTTTTGTAGTTATGATCTGACATCACATACATTGTAGCATTAAAGTTCACAGTTTATTTATAAAAAAAAGAAATAAAATAAAACGTTTTTATTGGGGGAGGGCAGACATTTCAAATGGGAGGGCCCTCTCTGGCCCTCCCACGGTGCCGGGTCTGGCTGGAGCACTGCTGGCCTGGCTGCCTCCGGGAACAACACATGGGGAACATTTTCCAAGGCACTTGATGAAAGTGTAATGAATCAGAATGAATTTCCTACCACATTAGGAACACATAAATATGGTATACTAACTAGACTGACATCTGCTGAGGTCACTCGACTCACGTGACACTAAACCGGCTTAGGTTGTGAGGTAGCTGCAACATAAATAAGTGTGGCATCAAACACTTGGCACATTTTAAAAGAAATTGCTGCTAATGTGTTTGACAACAAATACTTCACCGATCTTTTGCCAGATAAATATCCAATAAGATCAAAAAAACATAGGAAACATGCCACGTAAAAAAGGAAAAAGAAGCATAGAAGTGTATTTAGTGCATTCCTTTAGAAGTCAGACAGTGTGTTGAACGTGAGTATAACACCATTTAATTTGAAGTTAATTCAAAGTGAGACAATGTCAAGTTTGACTGAAAAAAGATGACAAAGGCGACATTGACATTTGTGAAATAATAATAATACAAGTTTAGTATAAGTGTTGAGACAAGAAGAGAAGATAATAATGTCAGTTAACTAATTCAGTTACGTTCTAACATTAGCCACCAAAAACTAACGGTCAAAGAGTTTAACTGAGCAGGAGTGTGTTTTGTTCCTTTTGCATGTGTGTGTAAGAAGCAGAATATGCTAATTACTTTTTTCAAAGGTGACATAGTCTTGTTTTAAGGCACCAATATCACATCTGTGAGTTGTTTTTTTACTGAGCGAGCCACGTGCAGTATTCATTCCTGGTCCCACTACTTACTGTCTACATGTACAGTTGCCTGTATTATGACCTTATGACATGTCGGTCAGAGGACTGATTTGAGTGTATATCTGTGTATGTCAGACCATAAATGTAAAGGAATGCAACTCAATACATTGCAGATGTATATAGCATATTGTACTGTGTTATTTTTATATTTATTTATGGGAGGTTTTATTCGGTTTATGTGAAATAGAGAATGCTTATGATGCAAGACAACGTTCAGAGTGTAGATAGGTGTACAAGTGAGACCTTGTTCTAGGAAAACAAAAAAAACTGTGCTAAAACATTTGTATATTGATGAGCTGAAAATGATTGTTATGTTGGTGCTTCAGATGCTTGAGAACACTCCTCTAAGAACAGTAGCCGAACTCAGAAGGGACAGAGGAAAAAGTCAGAGGTACAAGGCGAGCAAGTAAACAGGAAATGACAAAGACGCATCAAAGTTCAACCACAGTTTGGGTCATATCCTCTCCATCTTGCCACTGGTATTTCTGACGTGATACATCTCAGGCATTTTAGTCACAGCCTGTAAATGTTGACAGCCAATAGAGCCTGATTTGTGCAAATACAGTAAGTGCACTGAGTTGTCCCATATAAGGGCTGTGCAGCTCTGAGAGTAGCAGCAATTACTACCAAGCTGAGCCTCGAAGCAGAGAGAAGTGGTTGTTTCTGGCTTAACAATTCTCAACAGGGAAGAATTACATCAGACCCTGGGTTTGAAGAGAGGCCAAACAGTACAAAGCAGAGTTGATTCACACAACCTGTCCATGATGTTTATCATGAGTTCTTCTCCCCCCGCAGACAGGAAGAGCTTTGAAACGGCTGCACACCTGTTTTCTTTTTCCTGTCTCTTTGCTCTTCTCTGAACACAGAATCAATTAATGATACCCTGCTACCGTGGGGCTTTAACCAACTTTATTTTCCCTATAATTTGTTGAGTTAGGGCTGAAGTTAGACAGAGTTGCTGGATATCCTTCAATTCACTTAAGCACACGTTCAAATGTCCTACACAGGCACAGAAGGCTTTATCGTGTCATGTGCAAATGAGGCTTTTACAGCAGGGTTAAAGTTCCTGATTGTATTGTTCAGATTTTAGACAATGCACACAAAGGGAAACTGCTGGGAGGTAGTAAAAGTCAGAAATGATGTAGTCCTACCTCACTTCATCTATAATGGTTTTAATTTGAGTTATTGTGTCTGATTCAGAAGCGGAATGGCAATTTGACAAAAGACAATGCTGGCATTATTTTTGCTATAAATAGCAAAACCAGAGCTCACAAACATTGAAGATGGGCTCTGAATGAAAGATCAAAATGGGACAATAACAAATAATGATCTACAAGGGGAAATGAGGCCAGCCTGTGTTTTCATTTGCAGGTCAGATGGCAGTGGAGCGGGCACTGGCGTCACACCCAAACATAGAGAGAGGCCCATATGGTGTTAGAGACAAACACAGGCACCCCGTAATGCTGATGAGAGGCAACCATCGTGTGTGCCATGGGTTGAGGGCACAGGGCTTATGTTGTGGTGTCAACAACACAAATGGACAGAGATGGAAGAGAACAAACATAGTAAGGAAAGAGAAATCAGGAAGAGGAATGGAAAGAAATGAAAGAGGTGAAAAAACTTGGAAAGTGCTTCATGTAATTGTCTGTCTGCCTTTGCTTGAACTCCAACTCAGGCTCTGTGAGCATGCAAGTCAGACGGAGCTGAAGAAATGGAGAAAATGTGTGCATGCATGCGAGAGAGACAGAGAGAGAGTGAGTAAGGCAGCGAGAGAGACTCACCATGGTTTTCTAGTCAACAAGATGCACTCAAATCCATGCACGCAATCCCATCGCCAAACCTTCAAAAAGAAAAAGAATGAACATTAGAAAATGTATTGAATCAACTGCCCTCCAGCATAATATGAAGAACACCTTTGCTGCCTGCCCTGCAGATTAGAGAACAAACACAGGGGCTTGTGAAAAAGGTGGGGCAGAAAAACCCTAAAACAGACACAACTCCCTCCTGCAGAAAATCACACAATCTCTCTCTCTGATGCACACACACACACACACACACACACACACACACACACACACACACACACACACACACACACACACACAAACACACACACACAAAAAGCAAGGTGATAACATTTCTTTTTTGGCAGACGACCCCTGTTTCTCCTCGTAATAAAAATAACAACTGAAAACTACGACGGAAGCTCGCAATCGTAATGCAAAATTCAGAGTCACATTCCAAAAGGAAACCCGCGTAGTCAAAATTTAGACAATGTCCAAATCCCTCAAAGAAGAATTTCCAAACCACACCAAATCGTACTAAAATCTTGTAAAGTTCGGGAATAAAGGTTTCTATATGCGAGCAAATGTTGAGGAAAAGGGGGGGGGGATTTACAAATGGACCTGAAGTACCAACCCCCGAGAATCCCCGGTCACTCGCTTTTTGTAAACCCCTACGAAAAAACGAAAACCTCTGTTTATTTCTAGTACGTGGTCCGTCGTTACCGGGAGGTGGAGGACATTTTCCTGGACGGGAGAACAAACGACCGGTGTAATAATCTAGGTCGGCTAAGGACAGTTGCCTTTCGATTGTCCCACAGGTAAATAAATACAGAAACCAAGGTACGCCCCGCCGCTAAAAAAGAGGAGATGAAAGGACGCTTGGAAACCAAAATGCAAGGATACATTTATGAAAAATGGCAAAAACTACAGTGCACACCACCCAACACACACACACACCTAACAACACACCACCACACAGACACCACACACACACACACCACACACACACACACACACACACAACACACACACACACACACAACACCACACGAACCACACCACACACACACAACACCAACAGACACACACAACACCACACACACACACACACAAACCCACCACACACACACGATACACTATGCCTACACCTATCGTCGTAAACCGGGAAACTCAAGGAGTAAGTGAGATGAGAAAAGGGTCTACAGAAGTAGAAGAAACTTCCGTTTACATCGGTACTAATAATTTCGAACGGAGAAAGGTGAATTGCAATACCCCTTACTTATACCTATACTATAACTGTGGTTAAAGGTCGTGCGAAGTAGGGGAGGACGGGACGACAAATCACTTCACACTTGCTAGACGGTCGAGTCTGTGTAGAAGACCCTCGAGTTGAACAGAAGGTCACTTAACAGAAACTCAACTCCGGTACCATAAACCTGTTCAACACTGTGACCGACAAGTTCTTACTACTGGTACTTCGACGGTCCCCCTATATGTTGAAGAACCCATAGGATAGAGTCCAAGAGACACTGGATTCTGGTCGTTATACAAACGTACAAAAAATCGCACAACATCGCTATAATAAGAGCAAGTACTGTAGGTAAATATAAAATATTGAATAAAATTAGAACGTAGTTAGCAGGCTAGAGTTTGACAGGAGGTCCGTGACAGAAAACAAATTCCACAGTACTATTGTAATAGTAATCCTACGTACGTACCGAATCGGGCATGTGCCATGTATAACTATTGTGATGACAAAAAGGGCCTTCGTAGGTATACACTATGAGGGGAGTCCACGGGAGCTTGTCACGGTAGTTGTTTTCACGCATGAATAGACTATATTAAGATAAAACTGTTTTTTATCACCTTTGATTTTTAGAGAGCTCTTGTGGTGTTAACCTGGACAAGTAAGTCATTCCTCAAGTAAAACTAACCATGATTGTAAAATTTACCTTTTTTAGACAATCCAATTATAAGAAAAGAAAGAACACTTTTCTTTGTATAAAAAATTCGTCTCAGAAAACATATTGATTTTGTACAGACCTCCTCTCGAAATATGAAACTTCGGGTTACGACTACCCCATAGTTAAAAAACTTCCAGATTGCAAACCAAAATTTGGTAACACCCTGCCGACTTTCGGTTCAGACCACACTATCAACCCTTCACTCACCTTTCTATACTACATACAAAACTTTTACAAACAGGTTTTGTATACTTTTGGTTGTCCTCGGGGAAAAAGGGATTCATAAATTAGATCACCGGAAAGCCTAACAACAAACTAACGTTTGACATGTTACAACCACCATACGTAGTGTAGGAAACATGACCATACAGACAGAACGTACATAGTAAACCAATGTGAATGAGTAATTGAGGGAACTTTTGGCTGGTTTAGGACTCCGAATATACTATTAAACAAGGAATACGTACAATGTGGCACCACCAATGGCAACGGCTAAGACACACTGGAGAGACTACAGGCACCATGCACTGTCGTCAGACACATGTTAGCTAATCGGCCTAGTAATTTACTCCACGACCCTGACCAAACAAACCAAGCGTTTTGAGTGCGAAGAACTAAAGGGGGAACAGAAGAAAGTTCAAAGTTTTTATCAAATAAACGTACTACCCATCGGGTCGACGCAGAAGACAGGAGCACGACACACAACACACACACACCACAACACACCACACACACACCACACACACACACCACACACACACAACACACACACCACCACACACACACACAACACACCACACACA